ACATATGAGTTACTGTGGGACATGAGTTAATATCTAATGCTGTTATTTTACAAGCTTGTACAGAGCTAGCAGAACTGAATTTTCAGTTGCACTAGTGCTAGATCACAGTGTTTGTGGAACATATGGCAGCAATCCAAGAAGAGTCCACATGGGGTCACCTGATTCACCTGTATTAGTTTACTGGGAATTCACACTGACATTCAGTTGCAAACTACTGTAATATGATGCATGCACTACACCAGCACTCTTGCCAGGCACATCTAGGCCAAAGATGCACTTCATGGAAACCATGCAGGTTTGCTTCTCATGCTGTGTGAGCCCAGTCAGAAGGTAGTTTGCCTCTGAGTGATCTAGAAAAAAATCTCTGCTATGGCAGGCATCATGCCAAACACGTACAGTTGCAAGTAAACATTTGCAAATCATAAACCTGAAGTTCATCCTGGTTTTACCTACAGATCCTTCTATATTCCCCTGCTCCTGATCTAATCAGTACTAAAATAATCTTTCCATGCCCACGACAGAAGGCATTTGCCAGCACAATGGCAGCAAACTGCCCATGGGATGCAATGGCTTTATACACTTCTTTACAGCCTAGTCCAACTGGTGAGTTGCAATCTCACTTTTAACAGGGCAGTCCACAAACAGCTACTGTAGCTACTGTAGCTATGATCTGCTAACTAAATACTTGTGAATGAATAAATAAATAGCTTTGAGGGGTTTGGGTTAGGCTTTTGTATTGATTCAAGAAAGTGAGCCAAGCAAAATAGTATTATTATTGCCCAGGTAGTCACTGCAATATACAAGGACGGACAATGAGGGGTAAATAAGCAGGTGTTGAAACTTTACATCAGAGCTAAAAAATTAGAATTAACTAGGGCAAACTAGCCAACCATTGATACAATCTTCTTTTTGTCTACATGGAAAGACACCTGGAGACAACCAAGATGACTAAAGGCACCATCCCATCAATTGAGCCCTCACCAATCAGAGCCTCCAACCTCAGAAGATACTGAGCTTCCTCCATCCTGTACCTGCCCTGATTTTTACTAGATGGGATGGAGTATCTTGCACCCTGGCTCCTCTGGCCTGCTCCCCTTCCCACCCATGGGAATGCCTCCTTGTTCTGACCTCATGGAGGCAGCCAGTGCAATTCTTTCCATGCCGGCTGCAAGGGTGGGTAGGTGGGTGGGTGTGATTTTTGATTTCTGCTTTCCCCATCTGATGGGATGGAGAAATTTCTCCAACTTTGGAGAGGTTTTCTGAGTTGCCTTTGATCCCTTGGGTCATCAAAATATCATAGCTGCCTTCTAAAAGGCTAGGAAATGTTATTAGTGGAAGTTCTGCTGATTAACTTTCTACAGCATACACGAAACTATTTTACCAGAAAAGCAGTAAAATAAGATTTTTGCAGCAGATATGGTGATAAGAGTGTTTTAAAATTATTAGTTGGCTAATTGCAGGCAGTTGATTCTACCTGTTATGGAAAGAAGAGAAGACTTTAAACCAAAAGGCCACTGAACTGTTTTTCCTCTTTGATGGTACTGTCAGAACAAACTAGTTCTTTATGCTTACTGGGGCCAAAGAGAAAGAATTAACAAGGGAGCACTGCTTCTATGATCATATTTTATTTTGAAAGAATTGTTAATGAAAAAATAATTAAAATAAATCCCATTACTGTAAATAATTAGAGTATGAGCTGGATGAAACTTTAATCTCCTATCCATCTTTGCTACTATGCTGCCTCCCCACCCTACTTGCATAATTAAAATGTGGCAGGGAGTTTACACACAAGAGGGAGTAATTGTATTAAAAATAGCTCTTGCTCACCAACTTTTAAAAGCTCATTTTCACCTATGAAATAAAGCAAGATGATAATGGTAGCTGACATTTAAATAGTGCAAATCAGCACTCTCTTTAAGTGTATTTAAATATACATTTCAACCTGAATACAGAAATTACAGCATATTTAATTGGAGCGTGTCCCACTGAGTTCAGTGGGGATTAGTCCCATGTAACTGTGTATAGAATTGCAGCTTCTACTGTTTCCTTTTTTCTTTGCTCATCAGATACTTTTAATTTTCAAGTTTGCTTGCAAACAGTATTTAGGACTCAGGTGATTAATAAGCCCATTCATCTGTTTTAATGCCAGAGATGCAAATTAGTCTCAGCATTGGGAAAGTGATTCAGAAAGTACTTTTTTATGTGACCAACTATATTAGCTGATGGGATTAAAAAAATCTTCCTCACTGGCACAAATGACACATTAAAGGGTATCACGTGAAACATTTTAGATCAAATAACTGAGACCCATCATGTTAAATACTCTCAGAGAAAGGGACAAGTAACTTCCAGCCCATCTGAAAATTAACTGGCCTTTTCTAGTATGCAAGACCAACACTGAAAAAGTCTTTTCTATTGTTTAACTAGCAATCCCTTCCCTTCCCTTGCTTCCCTTCCCTTCCCTTCCCGGCAGGTTTAGACACACAAAAAGGCTTACACCTCCCAACCTAATCCAGCCAGTCATGCTACATGGAGAATGCTGGAAATTTTACGACTTTTCTTTTGTCTAAACATGCTTAGGACAGCATCCTTAGGAAGCGACAGACTTTGCAAGTCAACATTAACTTGCTAAAACCATTTTCCATAGCAAGTTTTTTTTTCCAATTGCTCCTTTTTCTCGATAAATGATGATGGGGTGGTGATACAGAAACTCTGTGGAGGGCTAAATGAAGTATTATTCATGAAGTGGCTTTGTCAGATACTCCTAATGAATGCCAATTTAGACAACAGGGCCAGTCCTGCCACTGTGTAGGCCAGTGCACCCACACTGGGCAGAGGAGTGGGAAGAGCAGCAAATTGAGCTGTTCTTCCTGACCAACCCTGCCAGGTGGACCTGTTGCTGCTTCAGGGGGGGCCCGCCAGCCATTTTCTTGCTTGGCATTTTCTGCAGCAGGAAAGCCTGGAAATTTCCAGGGCTCCCATCACCGTCTCTTCTTATTCTGGGCGGTGATATACTCACCTATCTTCTTAGCAGGTCTGCCGCTCTTTTAGTTGCTTAGACCGTCAGCTGCTCGTGCGCATTTTGGCACTTTGGCTTCTTTGGTTAGCTTTTTTGCTACAGAAAATGCCAGCAACCTTCTTGCTGTAGGGGAGTCAGCGTGGCCCATGGCTAGAACTTTAACCGGCAACAGATGAGGCCAGGGACTCCATGGCAATGGTCGTTCCTTTTCCATTGGCCTCAATGTGTCCACAGCCTGAAGGGCCTTCTGCTCTCTTCTTCCAGGCCTATTTACCAAATGCCTTCCTCTTGAGCAAGCGTCAAGGCTGTGGCCCTCGCCCAAACAGAAAAGGCAAGGGGAATGGCCATGCATTGGTAGGAGTTTACTCCCATGCTTCCCACCTTTACTGAAAGGGACCTTACTTGACTGAGCCAAGTAAAGCACCTGTGACTCCCCAAATGAAGAATCAAGGGAGAACAGAAACAATAAGAAAGTTAAAAAAAAAGGCTCAGGTGCAGGGAAAAGAGCATGCAGGAGATGAAGTGAAGCTTTCACAGGGCTGCGTACATGGTGGTAAAAAGAAAGACCAAAGGAAACAGGCAGGGACGCATCAGGGTATAAAATGCTGTGTCAGTGGGGCGAGGTTCCTATCAACTGCTACGGAAGCTTCCTGAAGCAAGGCTCCATGGGGGTGCAGGGCCCACGTGAGTGATGCCCAGAGTCCCCAGACCAAAGCACCATGTTTCTCTATTGCTGCATAGCCAGATGTCATGAACCAAGTCCCAACACCAAAGCTCTCTGGACACTTTCCAAAGATTTACATGTGCAAAATATCATATATAACATAATATAATAGGGTTTATATTAAAAAACAAATTCAAACAAAGAACAATAACAACCCCAGGACCACTAAAAACTTGTTGTATGCTGGCAATTCCTTGGGACTAAAGGAAAATCTTAACCTGACGCTGAAAGGATGATAGTGTTGCTGCCAAGTGGGAGAATGTTCCATGAATGAGGGGCCACCACCAAATACCCCACCCCTTGTTGCCATTTGGGATGTGTGAATCAGCAAACCTGAGCTCACTTATGTTCTCTCACCTCAGAACTTGCTCTGATTTGAGTCCATATAAGATTGCAAACTTTTCCCCTTTTTGCATGAGCATCTTTGCATATCCTTGTGCATATTTTTCTGTATGTATTGTGTGCATCAACTGTGTTCATCTTTGAAATGTATGCATTCTTTCCCATTGATTAAAGCCTATTTTACGTGCAAATTTAGAAATGCTATATATATATATAGCACACACACACACACGCACACACACATATATGGTCTGCAAATCATACTGTCAGCTCAGAAACATACAGATTTCTACTAGGGATGACTGAGGAATCAGTTTTGGGGATGGGAATCCATCTGATTTCCTAGGCTTGGATTCTGAACTCCTGGAGAGTGTGCCCTGTGTTTACCTGGTCCTTGTCAGAAATCAAGCTCCATACAACTGCCTTTGCATGCCACATGCCACTGCACATGATGCAGAGCACAGATGCCAGTTGCATGGCCTTAGTTCAACAAGCATTCACACAATTCTCTTTGATGTAACTCACTTTCCTAGTGAGGGCCAAGCAAGAGACAAAGTCCTTGTGAGAGGGATGGACTCTGCAGAGCTTTGCTGCAATCCCAATTTCAACTGCATATTGAGATTGAGTTTGGTCCAGAAAGTATAAACTGTAATGCCAAACTGAAACTAACTTCTCATACATCTCTATTTGCCATTTTTGAATTTTCCTCAGAGAAGGCACCTGAAGAAGGACCTTAGATAACCATCATAGTGTGCAGGTAGATTCATAGCAAGAGGAGTACGTAATCAGATATTTCTGATGAGACAGAACTGGTGTTACACTTTTGGATTGTCTGGTCCGTGTTCCAATTGGGCTGCCACATTTTGCATGAACTTCAGCTTTTGAACAGTCTTTAAAGGCAGCCCCAAGTGGAAGACAGTGAACTAATCTAACTTGGAACTGCTAATTACAGATGGAGCAAGTCCTTCAATAAATGAGTTGCATGTTTCCATTTTTCTTTCTTTTTAAAAAAAGTCTCATAGCCTCCTCAGTTATAGAAAAAGCAGGAAAAGAAGTTCATCCAATCAAAAGAAAAGGGATGATGTATTACAAGCAGCATCCAATGATTTTCATTAAACAATATGGTTCTATTAGATAAGAATGAAGCCTAGCACTGAGCTATTTAGTTCTCCCTGCTTTGTTCCACTCGCATATCTGCACCCAGTACTGAACTTCATTTGTGGTGTTCCCATCAGCAGTTACAGCTCACAACTCTGAAGTCAGTCTCATAAATTTAAACCGTCTAAATGCCACATGCAATTATTGCTTGGAATATTGCCAGAGGGTCCATCTTAGGTACAGACTGAAGAGTATCTCAATGATACCACTAACCATGGTATATTCCTGAATCAACTCTGCAAGCTGGGCATTGAAGGCACTGTGGTACAATAGTTCTGGACTTACCAGTGCAGAGGAACTATTCTATATTGCTTGCTTGAGTGGAGTAAGTGACTTACTCCTTGCTTGGGTGACTACTTCTTGTGCTTTAGCAATTAATTGCTGGGGTTCCACAAAGTCCCATTTTACCTGCATCACTGCTCAACATCTTTATGAAGCCACTGGCGGTGGTCATTTGGGGTTCTGGACCTGATGACACACAGCTGTAGTTTCCTGTCACATGTGACTGAGGTAAGGCTTCAAGCAACAGATCAATGCCTAGACTCCATGATGGTCTGGATGACGGCCAGAAACCTGAAGCCAAACCCTGGCAAGATAGTGAGTGATTCCTGAGTCCAGCAGATAGGCTTATTGTCTGCTCTGGACAGGACTTGAAAAATCAGATTTGTAGGCAGGGGATGGGGATCCTCCTAGATCAGCTATTGACACTGGAGTCAGATGTGGCCATAGGAACTCAGAGTGCATTTCACCAGCTTCAACTGGTTGCCCATCCACAGCTTCTCTTGGATACAGACAGGTTAGATACAGTGGCAAACACACTTGTAACCTCAAGCCTGGGTTGTTGCAATGAAGTCTATGTGGGGCCGCCCTTAGGGCTGTTCTAGAAGCTGGAGCTCCTGCAGAATGCAAAAGTTCAGCTGGTTTCAGGAGCTGCCCCCTTTTCACATGCAACTCCTGTGCTCAGGGAACTACCCGGCCCTGACGTTCTGACACTAGTGTATAATGCCCTGAACAACTTGGGAGCAGGAGACTTGAGAAGGCACCTTCTCCCTTATCAACCTCCTTAGTCACTGAGGACGTTGGATGAGATGCTCGTGATGGTTCTGCGGGGACTGATGACCTGACTGGGGTTCACCTGCAGAAATGCCTTCATGTGCCACTCTTCTGTGTCTCTGGAGGTTGGGAGAACCCCAACAGTGCGGTGTTTCTGGCATTTCCTGAAAACACCTTTATTTCAGTAAGCCTTCCCTGGTTCACCAGCGACTTTTTTAATGGATATTGTGTTATGATATATTTTCTTCTTGTTATCTTTTTATTGTGCACTGTTCTGGAACCCGTTCAAATGTCGGGCGGCATATAAATGTCGTAAATAAGCAAGACAGCTGCAGGGAAAAGGTATCAGTGGCTCAGCAGCCCTTCCGGAAGCAGGCAAAGGTAAGCACCTGACATGTTTTCAAGCACAAACATCCCAGCACTCTTCTTCCATCCCTGAGGCTAGCCCAGAATGCTTGAACAAGTTCAGCACCACAGGATAGTGGTGTCACTCATTAAAATACAATGAGTGCTCATTATACTCAATAAGTGCTCATTGTATTTTAATGAGCACAACAAACATTCTGCTGGAAAAAGCTCAAGGGTGCAATAAAACCTGATAACAGGCATAGGGAAGGAGGGAAAGGGTAGCCTGGAAAACATGATCTTTCCTCAAGCAGATGGCATTGCCTTTGTAGGGATAAGTAACTTCCATGCTGCACCTTGAGAATCCCTGAATCAAGTCTCTAGAATCACATGGCACGGCCAAGAGTAAATGGTCCAAATAGTTTTATTTTACTTCCTTTCTTATGAGCTGATGTCTGATGACTTCCTGGTCAAAGTAAATCCTGAAAGTCTTAAGTCTGTCCACCTCTGAAGTAGATAATATGGACTACATCAATGAATTCCGTACATCAGAAAGATCAGCTTCCAGGTATATATCAAACTGAGGAAAGTCAGATGATGACAAAATTGTGGTTCATATACAAATGGCGAGGCTGATAACATGTCCAACTGCTGAAATAACCTTTTTCTTAGTTTAAAAAGGTCAAAACAGGCATTGTTGCCCAACAGCATTAAAATCCCCATCTCTGTTGCTTGTGTTTTCCAAGACAGATTGCTGTGAAGAAGGTGGCAGTTAATATTTACACTCACTAGTGTAAGTGTGGCATAATGTGTGGCCTAACGGTTAAGAGTATTGGACTGGGATTCAAGGAGATCCAGGTTCTACTCTCCAATTGGCCACGAAGTTCATTGGGTAACATTGCACCAGTCACTGTCTCTCTGCTTAACCTACCTCACAGGGTTGTTGTAAAGGTAAAATGGAGAGGAGGAGGACCATGTAAGTCACCCTGCGCTCCTTCCAGGCAGGAGACAGGAAGGATATGAATGCAATAATAGAAAAAAGAACTGCCCTGATAAATGGTAGGCATTTTAATTTCACTTCAATGTAATATTAATTTTATTAATTAATTTTATTTTCACATTTATAGGCCTCTGAATAGCCTGACAGTTCAATATAAGAGTTAAATTGGATAATTTAGATAATTAGATTAGATAAAAGAACTTTTTTCAAAGAGTTTCACATGCAGCATGTGAACTACGTGAATCCAACACTGGCAGATTGATATGGAGGTAGCTTTGGCATGGAATGGGGGTGAAGGGAGATTGCTGAAGGCCATGCCATACGCTAGGCAGAGGGGGGCTGGAGCACTGTGAGTTATTCCGTCTTGCATTCCTAATGGATTTTAAGTGGTAACAGAACCCCATGCAAATGAGGCAGGGAAATAACACAGTAAGATGCCTTGTTGGGAAAGCCACCCTTTTTAAATGAAGGAAGAGGGGGAGAACGTATTAGTCAAATCAGCAACCAAAGAGACAGCAGGGCTATCAGGAGAGGAAAGTCCTGCTGGTATTTATCCGTCTTAATTTAATTTAATGTAATTTTAATTTTATTTTAAGTACTACATGAGTGCTCCCACACTACAGCAGAGAATCATTCAGCCTTTGCAAACTTTTCAGTTTGTAAAAAGTTGTCTTTCAAAAAATGGACACATTGCAAAGATGTAGTTGTATTACACTTCACAGTGTTGTCACAGGCGCTGAGCAGAAGCTGGTGACTTCCAACCACATCCCATGCAGCACCCAGTACACTTACTGGCCTGGGAAGAAGGAGATGAAACTACTTTTCCCCCAGCTACAAAACACTAAATAATCAGCAAAAGGGAAACTGCGGCATCTTCTCACCAGAAGCTCACACACAGGGAACCCTGCACAACATTATAATAACTGCACAAAAACAAAACCATCTGGAAAGACCTGAAAATTCTGACTGAAATGTAGAGGAAGTATGTTTGAGTGTCTTGATCATTTTTATACATTACTTTCAAAGTATAATTCAGAACAGGTCAGCTCCTGGGTCTTCTCTTCACTTTATTGAACTAGTTTAGATGAGCACTCTGTATTTCAAAGTTCACAGTACTCCCCACCCCCTGCCCGAGTAATGATAACGTGCAGTTCATCAGTCAACACAATCCTAGTGGCTTTGACAATATGATAGGTGGTCTCATCTGATCATTAGCAGAAGGAAAATAGGAAGGTGGAAGGAAAAGGGAGTGGATGTAGCAAGATGCAGCTATTCACCGGAGGATCTTTCACAAAGAAACCGAACTCCAACACATCAGCCTCTTTTCGTAAAGCAGCCAATCAAAGCTAACTTTAAAGATTTGTCACAGGATGGTATTTTCAGAGTTTCTTTTCCTCAAGAGCATTTCATTTCTGATTCTATTGCTTTATCCACAAGGAACATAGAAAGTTTGTTCTTGAAGTTGAATTATGTTATGAGGGAAATCACCCTCTCCCCCAGCAATGCATTCTCTTTTGTCCTATAAAACGCAATATGTTTCCTTGTTGAAACAAAAGCAGAGATTGCCTCCACCTTTCAGATCTCCTTTCTCCTGAAAAAACACAATCCTACTAGGATACTGCTTGTTCACATAATTTTTACCAATCTTCTTTACTGTGATAAATTTTGACAGCTGGAGATATTTTAGTAATTATCCATATGGGGGTGGGGAAGATGGATAATTAGCTTTTATTGTGCTGGAAAAAATGGGATTTAAAGTAGTGAAAAAAGTACAGGCAGTCCCTGGGATACAAATGAGTTCTATTCTTGAGAAAATGGACATCCATATTTAAGTCAAATTTGTATGCAAGTTGGATTGCGTATAAACAGCCCTCCACAGGACCCCAATAAAAGTGGAAAAAGTTTGACTATTTCTAGCCACCCACCCACTCAAACTCACCAGGGCCTTCTCATTGCAGCACGTAAATGCTGAAGAGATTTTCTTCTCAGAAGGGCAGGGCAGAAAGGCCTCTGTTCCTACCCTTCTACTTTCGGTCTCTCTATGGTGATGAGAATTTTCCAGAGTAATTTAAAAAATTACTAGCTTTAATGGCAGTTTGACCAGAAGTATGGGTTGTTTATAGCTCAACGTTTGTAACTCGGGGACTGCCTGTATTGTGAATACCTTTGCCGAAATAACCTTTTCCCTATTCATCTTTTCCCTAACATTATGTTTTACCAAAGGATACCTACCAAACAAGTTTCTTCAGATACTACAACAACCTGGTGCTCTCCAGATATACTGGACTTCAAATCCCATTAGCCCCACAGAGCATTGCCAATAATCAGACATGCTGGGAGCTGTAGTCCAGAACATCTGGAGAGTGATGAGTTGAGGAAAGCTGTACCATGTGGTGGGGCTACTGTGTGCACCGGATCCAAAACACCAAGTTGTTGCTGCTGCATGCCTGCATATTAACGCCTGAAGAAACGATGACCAACAGAGCCCTCCCCGAGGAAAACACATGCCACCTAAGCATCCTCTACTTACAATTGTGAAGTTCATAACCTTGAGAATCCAGATGGTCATAGCAAGGTTTACCAGGATTAAAATCATTAGGAGTAGCACAAAGAAATAGAGGCACCTCTTCCGCCAGCCATAAATCCCCACTTTGTACACGTGTGGCCCTTGGGAGCTCTGCATGGCGCTTCTGTGTGCGTACTGTTCCTGAGGCATCTGGGGGAACACAACACAATATACAAGAGGCAAGTTACACTGCAGAACCAGCCCAGAGAATTAGAAGTGCATGCTGAGACACAGAAGAACGTTTTTAAAGTATCAGCTGGACAAAACTTATTCCGCTGGTTTCTCAGTATAAGGAATAAACAGAGGAACGCTGCAGCAATGAATCAAAACGCAGGAATAGTATATACACTTCAGTACACACACACTTCCCCTAAAGACTGGTCTCAAAAGCTCTCATTGCAACTCCAGCTTTTTGCAAGGCAGGCACTCTAGGGCCTCTCAAAGTCCTGATGGGAGCTTTTGCATGTGTTTTGCCAAATAAGTTGAGTTCAGCAGTTTGTTTTGAGGATGCAATATTACTTCTCTAAGGCTTTAATTCCCCCCTCCTCCCAAAAAAACTCCACACACCCCGTTGGATAAAATTATTTCTGGCTGTCGAGGAATGGGCACAGAGGAGTGGTGCTTGAGATACTTTCCCTGAAGCAGACTTAATGTGCTGTTCCTCACGTTGGCCATGCACAATGAAATGATGGTCCACCGAAGGCAAATAACTCATGGTTGGTTCTTAGTCATGTTTCTTTGCCAAGTGGGCATGCGCATCTTGCTGTATCAGCACATGGACTGCTCCAGCTGCAAGAACTCTCTGGGGCTGGAGGCAGAAAGCCTGATGGCCCCTCATTTTCAGTAATATGGGAGAAAAGTTACCAGAGGAACTTTTCAAAAGTAAAGCACACATTAGAGGTGCAACATGTAAAACAAATGACATCCATTCTGTTTTCCAGAAATGTGAAGTGTAGAAATAAGGCCAGGTGCTAACTGTTATGTGACATTATTCTTATTATTTATTTCATTTGTTTACTGGCCCTAGCTGAAGCTCTCTGAGAGATTATCTGAAGAATACCTACAGGAAAGGGAAGCCCTTAAGACTGACAGAGGCTGGGAAACTTCTGTGTTTATGTGAATTCCCCTTTCCCATGCCATTCATAGAGACCAGCATTTCTGGGCAAACATTTGTTTATCTAACTATTTACATATCCCACCTTTTGGTAGCAATATTCCAAGGCAGCAAAAATGGTAAAAATAGTTAAGTAAAAACTATGAATTATAAATTCAGCATCTAAAAATGGAAATCCTTATGAAGCTGCAGTATATACTTCAGGACAACAGCTTGGCAGCAGATAGGAATAAAATTTACTTAAATCATAAGATGAATGTCCCTTGGCCTGATGCCTAAATTGTGAACCAAGTCATTGACCGATAAGCGTCCCTGAGCAGGAAATTCCACAACAGGAGTGCCATCAGAGAAAAAGCCCTTTCTTTGATCACACTATCCATCCCTGAAGACAAAGTCCACCTGCTATAGAGGAAGGCCCCATACTTTTTACTCCCAGATTTGGGAAAATGAGAAGCTGCTGCAGGCACCACTACAAAATGAATAGGCAGCAGACCACCATTTTGGCATCTACTTCTCATGTCTATGGAACTTAGGCCCCAGGCTACTAGGCAAAAACTTCTGTGTCGACTGGAAGTTGCAAAGTCTGTTTCATAAAGGATTGTCTAACTCAGCTTATTGCTGGTAGTACTATGCCACTAATGCTTATTTTAAACATACGCTTTGGCAATGTCCAGTGGTTGCTTTTAGCAGGGAGGAGTTTATGCTGGAACAGTCTTTAATATTTGCTGATGTACACATTTCTAAATTATTTATCTACTTCATGGAAATTAACAAATGGAAGGAGAAACAAAAGGATGTTCTGTGTCCTTTTGACAGCTAAAGACTGATATTGCAAAATTAGAAGGATAATCACTCATCTCTATAATGCAGTGGATTGAGGAACTAATGCCACTTTCAATATATATCAATATTTGATGGCAAACTAACTAACTAAATAAACTCTATGAGGTGTGTCTAGGCTTCACACTGGCAACCCTTTCCAAAAAATCTCTAATGATGATCTCAAAGAAAAATCAGGTTCACGTATGAGTAAGTGATCTTTCAGATACCCTGTTCGCAATCCATAAAGGGTTTCATACATCAAACCAAGGACCTTTCTCTATGAGAGGAAACAAATGGGAAGCCTCTGAAGACTTAATGAGATATATTGTGCTCCCCAAGTTCCAGTCAATAAAAGTACTGCTGAATTCTGAACTAGCTGAAATTGTTCAGTAGTTCACAAAAGTAACCCCTGTGTGTCATAGCACTTGTCATATTTGGAATTGACCGACAGTGTCCCCTAGATCAGACCAGTTCTTTGGAAGTTCACAAGTGACCATGCCTTGCCTTTGATTCTGAAATAAGCATCCCTGAGTTAATCTCTGATCAGAACTACCTGCCTTGTGCGACCAAGAACATATCACATGATACCATTTTAGCTCAAACTCTATTTTAGAGATGGTATGTGAAGGTTCCTCCTTCATGGATCACTGCCTTGTCGTGGCGAAGGGGCTTGCATAGCTCCATGAAGGTATGACCTATGCTGTGCAGGTCCACCCAAAACGGACAGGACATAGCAGAGAGCTCTGACAAAACGTGATCCACTGGAGAAGGAAATGGCAACCCACTCCAGTATCTTTGCCATGAAAACCCCATGGACAGTACCAAAAGGCAAAAAGATATGACGCCGGAAGATGAGCCCTTCAGGTCGGAAGGTGTCCAATATGTTACTGGGGAAGAGCGGAGGACTAGTACTAGTAGCGCCAGAAAGAATGAAGCGACTGGGTCAAAGCCGAAAGGACACTCAGTTGCAGATGTATCTGGTGGTGAAAGGAGATCCAATGCTGCAAAGATCTATATTCCATAGGAACCTGGAATGTAAGATCCATGAATCAGGGAAAACTGGATGTGGTCAAACAAGAGATGACAAGACTAAACACCAACATCTTAGGAATCAGTGAACTAAAATGGACAGGAATGGGTGAATTTAATTCAGATAACCATCAGGTATACTATTGTGGGCAAGAATCCCTCAGAAGAAATGGAGTAGCCTTCATAGTCAATAAAAGAGTAGGAAAAGCAGTACTGGGATACAACCTCCAAAATGACAGAATGATCTCAGTTCGAATCCAAGGCAAACCATTCAACATCACAATAGTCCAAGTCTATGCCCTAACCACTGGTGCTGAAGAGGCTGAAGTTGACCAGTTCCATGAAGGCCTACAACACCTTCTAGAATTAACTCCAAAAAATGATGTCCTTATCATCATGGGGGATTGGAATGCTAAAGTAGGAAGCCAATAGATAACTGGAATAACAGGCAAGTTTGGCCTTGGAGTACAAAATGAAACAGGGCACAGGCTGGTAGAATTTTGTCAAGAGAATACGATGGTCATAGCAAACACTCTTTTCCAACAACCCAAGAGTCGACTCTACAAATGGACATCACCAGATGGTCAACACAGAAATCAGATTGACTATGTGCTCTGCAGCCAAAGATGGAGAAGCTCTATACAGTCAGTAAAAACTAGACCAGGAGCTGACTGCGGCTCAGATCATGAACTTCTTGCTGCAAAATTTAGGCTTAAATTGAAGAAAGTAGGGAAAAGCACTAGGCCACTCAGCTTTGACCTAAATCATATCCCTGATGAATATACAGTAGAGGTGACAAATAGATTTAAGGAATTAGATCTGATAGACAGAGTACCTGAAGAACTATGGATGGAGGTTAGCAACATTGTACAAGAGGTAGCAACTAAAACCATCCCAAAGAAAAAGAAATGCAAGAAAGCAAAATGGCTGTCTGAGGAAGCTTTAAAAATAGCTGAGGAAAGAAGGGAAGCGAAAGGCAAGGGAGGAAGAGAAAGATACACCCAATTGAATGTAGAATTCCAAAGAATAGCTAGAAGAGATAAGAATGCCTTCTTAAATGAAGAGTGCAAAGAAAAAGAAGAAAACAATAGAATAGGGAGGACCAGAGATCCCCTCAAGAAAATTGGAGATATGAAGGGAACGTTTCATGCAAAAATGGGCATGATAAAGAACCAAAATGGCAGGGACCTAACAGAGGCAGAAGAGATTAAGAAGAGGTGGCAAGATTACACAGAGGAACTATACAAGAAAGAGCTTAATGTCCCTGATAACCAAGATGGGGTTGTCACTGACCTCGAGCCAGACATCCTGGAATGTGAAGTCACATGGGCCTTAGGAAGTCTGAGCAACAACAAAGCTAGTGGAGGTGACAGTATTCCAGCTGAGCTATTCAAAATCTTAAAAGACGATGCAGTAAAAGTGCTACACTCAATATGCCAGCAACAGTGGTCACAGGATTGGAAAAGGTCAGTTTACATTCCAATCCCAAAGAAGGGCAATGCCAAAGTAATGTTCAAACTACCGCACCATTGCACTCATTTCACATGCTAGCAAAGTTATGCTCAACATCCTACAAGCTAGGCTCCAGCAGTATGTGGACTGAGAACTACCAGAGGTACAGGCAGGATTTCGAAGAGGGAAAGGAACTAGAGATCAAATTGCCAGCATACGTTGGATCATGGAGAAAGCTTAGAGAGTTCCAGAAAAGCATCTACTTCTGCTTCATTGACTATGCTAAAGCCTTTGATTGTACGGATCACAACGAATTGTGGCAAGTTCTTAAAAAGATGGAAGTACCAGACCATCTTATTTGTCTCTTCAGAAACCTATATGTGGGTCAAGAAGCAACAGTGAGACCTGGACACAGAACCAATGATTGGTTCAAAATTGAGAAAGGAGTTCGGCAAGGCTGTATATTGTCGCCCTGCCTATTTAACTTATATGCAGAGCACATCATGAGAAAGGCGGGGCTAGATGAATCTCCAGTTGCAATTAAGGTTGCTGGGAGAAATATCAACAACCTCAGATATGCAGATGATACCACTTTCTGCCATTAGAGTGGTATCATCTGCATATCTGAGGTTGTT